TTTCTTTAAATTTATTATTTTTATTTTTATTTATTTTTGTCTTTTTGAGACAGGGTCTCCCTGTAGCCCCAGCTGTCCTGGAACTCACTATGTAGACCAGGCTGGCCTCGAACTCACAAAGATCAGCCTGCCTCTGCCTCCCAAGTGCTGGAATTAAAGGCGTGCATGTGTGCGAGTGTATTGCCTGCATGTATGTGAGTGCACCCATGTCGTGCAATGCCATGGAGGTCAGAAGAGGGCTTTGGATTCCCCTAGAACTGGAGTTAAGGACAGTTCATAGTCACTATGTGGGTGCTGGGAATTGAACCCAGGTCCTCTGCAAGAGCAGTCGGTGCTCTTAACTGCTGAGCCATCTCTCTAGCTCCTTGGCACACACTTTTAACCCACTGAGACAGCTCCCTAGCCCTGCTTTTACTTTTGATTTTTTTTTTTACTTTTTGAGACAGGGTCTCCCTGTAGCCCCAGCTATCCTGAAACTCACTATATAGACCGGGCTGGCCTTGAACTCAGAGATTGTCTGTCTCTGCCTCCTGAGAGCTGGGAATTTTTTTTTTTTTTTTTTAAAAACAGTCTTGCTACGTTGCCCATTCTGGATTTATTTTTAGACAGCATCTCACTATATAGCCTTGGCTGGCCTGGCACTCACTATGTAGACGAGGTTGGCTTTGAATTCAAAGAGATCTGCTTACCTCTGCTTTCCAAATGCTAGGATTAAAAGTGTGCACCATACCTGGGATACTAGACTGGATTTTAAAGTCAACAAATCCTCCTGCCTCAGCTTCCCAAGAACTGGGACTAAATACTGTGTCCTTTTCTTTTTTCCCCTTTCTTTCAGATTAGCTGTTATGGGGGCTGATTTTAAATGGTACATTGTTAGTACTTAGTTCGAATTTTAGGTAGAGTTTTTTTTTTTTTTTAAGTGCTAGAGCTAGAACCCAGGGCCTCACACATTGTAGGCAAGCACTGTGCCATTGAGCCACACACGCCAGCCTCTATTTTCTTTCTCATTGCCTCTTCATGACTCCCATACTTTAACCACCATGCAAATAAACTTGTTTTTCTCAATATTTGTGCAAGTCTAGAGGCATGAAACTCAGAGATTGCTTCATCACAGAGCTGTCTCATCAGAGATGTGTATCTTATTTACTGAGAGGTTAAGTATGTTTCAAATCATTAATATCCTTCTGGGATAGGTGGAGGGAGGAGGCTGCAGCTTCTGGGCTGCTTGTGTGGCCCATCTCCAAGGCCCCTGGATACACTCCCAGCTGATAGTGCCATCTACATCTGCAACAGCATGGAAAGAGCGATAGAACCTTCTCTTCACCTGCTGCCCAGTCAGGCCCCACTGGTGACCAGATTGCTTAGAGGCAAACAGAAGGTACTCGGTTTGTTTGTAGCAGGCAGTTTATGTAAGGGAAGTTTCTCTAAAAGAATCAGGTGTGTTCAACTGCAGCCCAAGGGCCACTTATGCCTCAGCATAGCTATGAATGCAGCCCACTACAGAATCCTAAACTTAAACCATTACAAGATGGCTCAATGGATAAAGGTGCTTGCCTCTAAGCCTGATGACCTGAGTTTACTCCCTTCCACATGCATGCATGCTTGTATGAGCATACATACAAAATAAATGTGGGTTTAAAAATTTTTTTTTTCATGTGTATGAGTGTATTGCCTGCATGTGTGTAAGTGCATCCATGTTATGCAATGCCCACAGAGGTCAATAGAGGGCATTGGATCCCCTGGAACTGGAGTTATGGATGGTTATTAGCTACCACGTGAGTGCTGGGAACTGAGCCTGGGTCCTCTGCAAAAACAGCCAGTACTCTTAACAATTGAGACATCTCTCTAGTCCCATAAATTTTTTTTTATAAAAGCAGTTTGGGGGTCTGGAGAGATGGCTCAGCAGTGAAGAACACTGGTTGTTCTTGCAGAAGACCCAGGTTCAAATCCCAGCACCCACATGGCAGCTAACACCTGTTCGTAACTCTAGTCCCAGGGGATCTGACAGCTTCTGTGCTCCATGGGCACTGCACGACATGGGTGCACTTACCTACATGCAGGCAATACATGCATACACATAAAATAAAAATAAAAATAGTAAATAAAATACTTAAAAAAAAAAGCGCAGTTTGGTGGGCTGGAGAGATAGCTCAGCTGTTAAGAGCACTTAATGCTCTTGCAGAGGACCCAAGTTTGGTTCCCAGCATCTATATGGCAGCTCATAACTGCTTGTAACTCTCTTCTGGCCTCCATTGGTACCTGCACCCCCGTGACATGCATACAGAGAGATATACACAAATACATAATTAATTTTAAAAAGTGACAGTTTGGAGGGCAAGAGAGATAGCTCCATGGTTAAGAGCACTGGCTGCTCTTGCAGAAGACCTGGATTTGAATCCCAGCACCCACATGGCAGCTAACAACTGTCCGTAACTCCAGTTCCAGGGAGTTTGATGTCCCCTTCTGATCTCCATGGGCATTGTACGACATGGGTGACTTACATATAAACAGCAAATATATTCATACACATAAATTTTTGGGGGGGGGTTCTTTTTGAGACAGGGTCTCCTAGCCCCAGCTAGCCTGGAACTCATTATGTAGACTAGGTTGGCCTTGAAACTCAGAGATCCTGCCTCTGCCTCCCAAATGCTGGGATTAAAGGTGTGTGCCACCATGCCTAGCAATAAAATATTTTTTAAAGGTGGCAATTTGGTGCTGGAGAAATGGTTCAGTAGTTAAAGAGCACTGGTTGCTATTGCAGAGGACCAGGGTTTGGTTCCCATCACCCATATGGCAGCTAACAACAGATTACACTCCAGTTCCAGGAGATCAGACACTATCTTCTGGCCACTGCATGACATGGGTACACTTACAAACATGTAGGCATACATGCATGCATGTATAAAACATGCATTAAAACATTCATGCATATAAAATTAAAATAAATTAAAAAATCATTTAAAAAATAAGTTTGCCAGGCGTCGTGGCGCATGCCTTTAATCCCAGCACTCAGGAGGCAGAGGCAGGCAGATCTCTGTGAGTTCAAGGCCAGCCTGGTCTACATAGTGAGTTCCAGGACAGCTGGGGCTACAGGGAGACCCTGTCTAAAAAAGACCAAAAAAAACCCAAAAAAACAAAAAAAAAGTTTGGCTTTTGAGTGTCTATCTTTCCTAGATAACCAGCCCACTTCCACTCTTGTGCTTTTCAAGTTTTTATTTTATGAGCGTATGTATATGCTACTTGTGTTCGGGTATCCATGGAGGCCAGAGAAAGGCACTGGATCCCTTGGAGCTGGGGGTTACAGGCAGTTGTGAGCTGTCCATGTGGGTGCTGGAATCTGAACTCGGGTCTTCTGGAAGAAAAGAGCAAATATCTCCATATGGCGTAAGCCCGTATACCCAGAAGGGCAGAGATGTGCAGAGTGACACAGACCACTATATGTTGGATCATCTAGAACTGGAGTTATAGGCAGTTGTTAGCTGCCATGTGGATGCTGGGAATTGAACCCAGGTCCTCTGCAAGAGCAGCCAGTGCTCTTAACCACTGAGCCATCTCTCCCACC